GTGGGAATTTGATTGAATCATGAGGATATTCTGGTACAATTCTGTTCAATAGGCCATTTCATCACAAGAGATTACATATCTATTTGAGGCATTTGGTGTATGCCCATTTCAAAGTGTAAATTATTTCAGTTTTCATTAATTTCACTTCTAGGATTAGCAACAGGTAATCTAGAAAGAGAAAATGTATCAGTTTTATTAATTATATTTTAAATCCACTCAATAACATATATTCTCTGGCAGATTATTAATAGTTAGAAGAATACAATACAGGATAAAAGGACATTTTCAGCAAACTATTAAATTGAAATAAGTGCTGCCACTAAACTATTTAAAATGCAATCCTATGCCTGCTTCTTTGTTTATATTCCACTTTTCTCTCATTGTGAAACTCAAGGTGGTTACATGCAATTCCTAGGTGGTCTCCCCTCAAAACTCAGGCCAGCCACAGGCCTGCTTAATTTCAACATAGTGAATGCCTTATATTTTTTCAGATCATACTTCTGCTTAGATAGAAAAAGCCCTGTAATTCAATGCTTCTGATAGTCATGTTGACTGGACCTTGCTGGAAGTTGCAGGACTTTTTCTATCTAAACACAAAGGACTGTGTCCTTAGTATATTAGGTCACAACTAACACTGCCAGCTGCTTTCACTCTTATCAGTGCTACTGTGACATCCAAACGTAGCTGTTTCTGTACTAGAAGGAACTAGTAGCAGAATCATAGTAGTCGAGCTTTGTAGCCTAGTTTCTCCTGGGAAGTATTATCTTCTTCCAGTTCCTTACTCCAACCTGGGCAAGTTTAGTCCCCCGAGAAGCAGAGCTGCTACAAGTACTGCTCAGTCTACCAAGTTTCTCCTACCCACGCCATACTTCCTCAGCCTCACCTCCTTAAAACTCCCTTTTCCATGCAGGCCCCTCCCACAGAAACCCTTCCAATCAGTTGTAATTCAGTTCCATGTTCTGAAGTAGCATACTTCTGAATACCAGATACTGAAGACAAGCAATAGGGAACTCTATTACCTTCTCCTGATCGTAAGCATTGCTTTGACATTTGGCTGGTTCTTGCTGGAAAAAAATGCTGGTCTTGACTAGAAGCAACTAGTATGGGACCAACTTATACAGGTTTCGTGGGTTCTGGAGATCAGACACCAAACTGCACAAAGCAATTCACTTTTAAATAACTGACCCCAAACATTTCTATTGCCCCATAAAAGAGGGGATTCTCTATGCCTGTTCAGAGCTCTCCTTCTGTGTAGTCTGCTTCCCTGCCTCCAGGACTCAAAAGCAGAAACAGCATGAGATTGAAATGAGGAGCTGTAATCACTCAAATATATCAGGCAGCCCACCCTTTCCTCCAAGCTCCTAATATTTACCTGTCAGACAAGCACTAGTGGGATGGTTTGGCTTCTGTTTTATGAACAGACAGTTTGCCCAGCCTGCAAATCTGTTTTGAATCCAGCTTTGGGATGCACTGAAGCCTAAAAAGCAACCAACCACCATCCTAAGTGAGTGGAGAAATGATTGTGGTCAATGTATCCTTCATTAGTGTTGAGCGCTTTCAAAGGACCCCAATGCATAGCCAATTCCAAACCGTTTTTTTGCAACACAGTTACCTATTTGTAAACTAAGGCCAGCATATTTTCTAAAATAAAAAAAGCAATACAGAAAAATTATACATCCCTATCCAATAAATGCAAAGAAGATGGGGGTTAAATAGCTTACCATTCCAGCCCAGAGGGGTATCCTGGATTTACTCAGTGCTGATTCCCTTCTGAAAGCACCATCCATTAATCCACTAATGATACAAATTGTAGCAAAAGTTATCTGTAAGAGGCCCAACACAACCATACTCTTTTGGTTGAAGATGAAATATCTGTAGCGATCCATTCCAGCTAATCCACAAATTTACAAGCGTGTTCCGTTTGGGAAGAGGCACAGAGATTGTTCAAGAGCAGAAGATGCTATTATTTTTATCTTGAATAGAAAATGCAAAAAGCAACAATGTATTAGCGTGTCAACATGCATCATCTGACAAACTGTTCACATGCCATTCCATTAATAGTATGAAGAATCTGCTGCAGCATTAACATTTTGATGCCCTGTTTTTAAATCCATTAAGAGTGTGGTATGGAAATATAACAAAAAGCGAACTGGATGGGGGTATGCTTTTTCAAAAAAGTTGACTGTTTAAAAGCTTGAAGACATCCCTAACTTGGATTTGGACATAGAAATATGAAATTTCCCGATTTAAAGCATAAAGATGTGTGCATGGTATTGTGCTTATTTTTTTCTTTACTTTGAATCCTTCACTCTGTGTGTTTCCATCACTTCTTGCTTTTTGTCTAATATAAAGTGAGTAGTGTATGTTACTCTGAGGCTGTTTTTGCAATGCAAAAGCAACACAACCATTTAAAAAAGTTGGTTCATATGAATGTTTCCAGTTAATAAAAACATTAGCAAACAAGAATCCAAATGATACACATTTTCCTTTAGTTTTGTTATTTATACTCTGTAACAAATTGAAAATACACTTGTTCCCAGGGATTGCTACACACTTTCCACTGTTGTGTTTGTGTCAAACAGAGAGAAATGTACTGTAGTGAGGGAGAAGAGCAGAAGGGTCCTGTAAGGTACAGTATTAACCAGCAGTAACAAGGTGTCCTGGCATGTATTTTCTGCAATGTTAAGGGAAAAGATGATACATGGGACACTGTTCAGACCTAAAAGCATGGTGAGAACATTGTCATTTCTAATTAAGATGTCACAGAAGCTACTATGATGCCTGTGTTATATATACCACCACAATGGATTGAATCCAGACTAAGTAATCTGCATTTGGAGACCAATCCCATGCATGTTCAGACAACATGCTGGTTGTAGAATGCTGGGTGAACTGGGACCCTAAACATATGTAAGATTGCACCCTTAAAATTGCACTTAAATTAATAGGAAAAGTTAGCAATGATTTATGTCCCATTTATTTCAGTGGGATGTAAATGCCATCAACATAAGCTGCATTTAGCAAATTTTATGTGAGTTGATACAAGGGATGTTTGAAGAACTGATTAATACAAAGATATGTTAGAACCATTTTTATTGCATAGATTAGGGCAGCATTTAATTTGAAAGAAACACCGATTTGTAGGTCTAGAGCCAAACTAACTCAGTTTTATTTAAAAGCCACTGAAATCAACAGAACTTAGGTCATGGTTCATGATTATTTTTTTCCCACGATTATTTCAATAGGACTAACTTAGTCTGAATTTAACTCTGTTTGAACATCTACTTTGTACATCAACCTGATCATAAATATATGCTGAAGTTTAAAAATAGAGATGTTAGTTCAGTGGATTTATTTCAGATTTAATTAGCTGGCAGTTGTGGCATGAGGGATCATGTACAAACTACATACAACATACAATTCGATACTTCACAGTGTATCCTCAGTGGTATAACTGATAAACAATAGACAATACTATAAGAAATAAAAAGGCACAAATGGCAGAGATGATGGCTCTCTTCATTGTAACTTCTGGACTAGTTAACCATTCTGTTCAGAAAATAAAATCCTTGCTCTTTAAGTTGATTTTTTCTCAACTTTTGTCCCTGCCAACATGCAGATTTACATTAGGGTTTGGAGCCTCACTTTCAAGAAATTTGCATTATAAAACGCAATGGAGAGGGAAGGTAAAAGAAACAAATTTCTTTCAAGGCTGATGAAAATGAAAGAAAGTAAGGCTCTAACAGGAAATAAAGTAGTTCATTTGCCATGTGATTGCTCTGTTGCTGTAGCTCTTTGCTTTTGACTTCCAATGGAAAACAGCTTTGCTGTCAGCAGGGCAGAAAGCACTGAAGGTTGCTGAAAATGAAGCATCTTGAGGTGCAGGTTCTCTTTGGAGAGCTCATGTCAGATTCCAGATCTGGAATGCAAGTGAAGCACCTGTTTGCTTCCGCAGGCTTCACTTGCATCTTTCCAAATAAAGCAAAGACTACAACACTAGCATAAGTCTTGAGAGCATTCTTCTCCAACCTAGCGCTCTCCAGAAGTTTTGGTCTTTGACCCCTCGAAAACCCCAGTCATCCAGCTCAGGGATTCTGGGAATCCCACACATCTGGAGGGCAGTGAGGAAGGATACTTTAAACAAGCACAGTCGTCTCCCTCCCCTCTCCCCATCCAAAGGAAACTGTAAGGTTGCAAGCCTGTGTCCATTTACCAGGAGGTAGGCGCCCTTGAAATCAATGAGACTTACTTCCGAATAGGCTCGTATAGGATTGCACTACAAACTCGGCAGTACCACCCTTGAAGCTTCTCACCATCCAGGGAAGTGGGCAGCGATTAACGAGGTGACTTGGGAAAACTTATTTGCATAAAGGAAAGTAAGTCGATCCTGGCCAGGACCCCGCCCTCCTACTCGCCCTGGGAAAGGCAGCTTCCGGCCCCAGCGGGAAGGCTGCAGCTGGAGGGTGCCAGAGGGACGCCGCTTCCATCGCCGGGGCCAGGTAGCGGGCTGCCCCCTGCCCGTCCGAGTGCCCGCCAGCCGGGGACGCGCCGGGGACGCCCACGGCCGCTGCCCTCCAAGGCGGGTAGCAAGGCGCGAAGCTCGCTGGCCGCGGCGTGGGAAAGTTCGGAGCCCGGCCGGCGCCGGGGAGGCAGTGCGGCGAAGGCTGGGCGCGGCAGCGGCGCCCGGGGAGGCGGCCCCGGCCAGGGCAGTGCCCCGAGCTCCGCTCGCCGCCTCGAGCGCGGAAGGGGGCCGCCGGGGGGCGCGCTCCGGCGGCGCGGCCACGCGGCGGGAGAAGCGCCCTCGGTCGGAGGGGACGCGCGGGCGCCCGCCTCCCTCGCCTCGCCGGGCTGCCTCGGGCCGGCCGCAGGTGCGCGGGCGCGGGGAGGAGTCACCGGCGGGCTGGCGGGGCTCCCCGCCCCGTGGGCTGCCTCCGCCGGGCCCTCCCTCCGCAGGTGGCACCTGCCCTGGCGCCTTCCCGCCGCTGGGCTTCACCCGTCCCGCGCCGCAGCGCCGCGCTCCGGGCGCGCTTCGGCAAGAGGAAAGGCCCGCCCCTCCCAGCCACCCGCAGCTACGCGGCCAGTCGAGGCCCCCCCCCCTTCTGAACGGGTGCTTGGAAGTTCTCCCATAATGGGTGCATTTAAACAAAGATCGGCCAGCGTGCTTAAATTGTCGAGCTATTTACGCGGCCAAATGACAGCTCCTCACTTAACTGTTGCTTACTTAACCAGGTGGAGTCTGAAAATTTGCGTGTGGAAAAGAGGCTTTAAGAATAATTTTAAAACCTCGACACCTTTCCTTTGGATGCTTTGTAACCTTTTAGCAATGGCGGGTGCTCATTGCCTCCCTAGAGATCTGACTTGGAGCAGGGGAATTTGGCTGGCGGTCGGGAGTGTTTCAACTCAGCTCCTTTTCTGCAAGGTCGGGAGTGTTTCAACTCAGCTCCTGTTCTGCAATCAGCCCCTTCTGGACTTTATAAATAAATGCAAATAATACAAATACCAATTAACCTCCAGCGATCTTTTTCCAGAGGAAACAAGACTTGGCTAATTGCTGTGCAGTCTGGACCATCTCACTGCTTGAAGTACAACTGTTCAAAACTGGCTATTTGCAAGTGAGAATAATGATATGAAAGTGGAAAGGTGATCTCTTTGAATGCATCAGCATTGATAGGTAGCACTTTATTATAGCTTCGATGCTGTACAAAATGCTTCAATCAAAACCGGGTGCCAAACCAGGTATTTGCATTGTACCTAGTCTGGAACCAGAAATTAGCATTAGGGATCTACACAGGTGCTTGCCTGGGCTTTGAAATGCTCACTGCTGTCTCTAACCAGCTTATTTCAGACTAAGACTAGACATGTTTCAGATTACTCTTAGCACACAATCATCCTGAGCTCATAATCTTTCCATGATTCAGGGAAAGCACCTGATTGAAATTTATCCACCTCTGTTCAGTATCCATTATTTCCCAGCAAAGTCTAAATTATGGGACAAAAAGACATTCATTCAAGACAATAAGGGTACAATTCTGTGCCAGCTGGGGAATACAGGAAGTTGTAGGATGATTTTCTTCCTAAACATGCACAAGATGGTGTGAGTGGGATAGTGTAACCTGGTGTCCTGCAACACCAGGAGGTTGGACCCGAAGGCCTCCAACTCTACTATTCTGTGATTCTGAGACTGTTCCTTAGAAAGAGTCTGCTTAGAAGTTGAATGCTTTGATTTGGAGTCCTGAGTTAAGAAGGGCATTGGACCTGATGGCCTTCTTGGCCCATTCCAACTCTACTCTTCTATGATTTCATAGGCCAGATATCCATGGTAGGATACCACAAGTGAGTTCAGAGAACAAAGCAGGTCAACAATGGTGAAAAGCTACCATGGCTGCTGCATTGCCTCAGCCCAGCCATTGCCTTTGGGTTAGCTGACATGGGCAGTGCTGGGAAATCACAGCCACAAGCTTTTGCACAATATCTTTGGATGCTGAAAGTGAAATGTAATAGCTTCAATGATAATGTAAACCAAGTTGGAAAAGAGAAAAGAACCTGTTTATCAAATGGTTCTCTATTCAGTTTCAATTTTTTTCAATTAGTATTTATGCATGCATACAACCTAGAGCAGTGGTTTCAACCGTCAGTCCAGGGAATGGTGCCAGTCTGCAGGAGGTTTCCTGCCAGTCTATTGGGGGGGGGGCACACCCTGCTTGCCCCAGACTCTCATGGGGGCTGGCTGCGCTCCACCACCTCTTCCTTAGTTGGCATTGTATTCACAAGGGGTGTACTGGGGGTGGGGGAGGAGAGAGACAGGTCAGTGGGAGTCAGCTGGGAGCCACATTGTGCTGATTTCGGTATTTTGTTCTTTTGTTGGCATTTTTTGTTGCTCAGTTTCTGATTGTTTTGGAGAATTTCCATTTTTTCAGTGGTGTGTTTGGAAACTAATACACAGAATACTGTATTAAGTGTATGGTGCTTTTGTTTCTGCCTCGAAGGTCCCTGAGGTGGTTTTATGGTTTTTGCAGGTTTCCAGTTGTGCAAAGGTTGAAAACCACTGACCCTGAGGACTAAGATTCAGGAACGGGGGTGGGGGGGGTGGGGGGGAGAGCTTTTTCCTTCCAGCCGGTTTTTCTGCATAGAATTACCACTATTGTCTTCCTTCCACTTTTCAACAAAAATCTGCATGCAATTTTTTTTCAGAGATGGCAGGAACAAGAGAACATGACAGTTATATGTAGGTCTGTTCTCAGTAGCTAAGCATACCAAAACTGTCTTTGTTTTCAGCTGAGTGACTCTTTTCCTTCCTGTCCTAGAAAAGGCTAGCTAGCATCAGGGTGAGGCATCATTAGGCCACTGAAGGCATCTGCCTCTGCAGGGACCTTGTGACAGGAGTCCCTTGGCCTTGCTCTTTCGCTTTACCATTGCAACTTGTTTGTTCACTTCTCTCTTGCTCTGATCCAAACAATGGTGATAGTGAGAAGGAGCAGCAGTAAATACCACCACATATTTGCTCTTTTACTCTGCCTGTTAAGCAAGCAAGTGGTAGTTATGATGGTGGGAATGGTGATGAAAATGTACAGAGGGATCCACTGAGATGTCTTGTCTAAGGACCTTCAGAAACCTTGAGCCAGGACTGCACTGATAGCAGTGTTTGGCTACAATAAATATTAGTCCAGAGTTTAATCTGAGAGGCAACTTGAAATGGAACAAAATGTTTTCAGAGGCAATTAATAGCTTAATTGATATGCTTTTATTTTTTTATAACTTAATGTAAAGCAAGTAAAAGTTTTGCCCAAGAAACATCTTCCCTACATCCTCATACATGCATTCAACATATACTAAAAAAGCCAAACAAACCCTCATTCATAAACAGAAAGTGCACCTGTCATTCATGTAAACTTTTCTGTTCAGTTATCCATAGTTTTAAAATCAGAAGTGAAACCTATGGATGTCAGTAAGGCTCATCATTCTAGGAAAATAAATATTTCATGTCGTCACATTTCATGAATGCATGTTAAATATTGTGGAACTATCAGTAAATAAGTCCCTTACACATCACAAAATGCAATCTCATTTGAGGGTTAAAAGAGTCATCTCACAAGGCCAAGTAGAAACAAGTGAATTCATTTGTCTCTTCTCTTGCTCCCTTCTTTTTCAGGAAACAGAGTGAAACTGTTTTTTTGCAAGATGCTTAAAGGGCAGCCACAGGTATTTTGAAACTACATTCAGTTATAATATGAAAGCTTCACAGAAGAAACAAATAAATAGAATACACATTTTAAATGGTAAGACTTCTAGTTAGGATTCTAACTGACACAACTTTGAACTGCAAATTGTGATAAAATTATAATCCTTTTGCAGGATTGTAGATATTAACTAAATGTTCCATTTACAATATGAAACCACCTTTGAAAATGTACCAGTTTCAAGATGGCAGCTATGTAAAGGTGGTAGCATTTTCATATTTGTAATATAAATATTTACATATGCACATGGTATTATTTCTGTAGCTTGAGGTCAAGGAATTTGTTTCCAAATATTAAAATATGCTTTGAACAAAACAGAAGTGTAGTTATATACTATTTGCTATAAGATGCTATTATGTATTGAAGAATTCTAATCAACAGAACTGTGCATTCCAAATATTTAATCATGAACACTTTGTACATTTTTCTCTTAAAATGAAACTAATTAAATTCAATAGGTTCTTTTGCAGTTTGCTTGTTATACATCACAAGGTAATCTTGATAGTGTGCAACCACTTTCTTGCAAGCACAGTTCAGCTTGAAACATGGATCCCAAGAAATTAATCTCATTGCTGAAATTTGATGACTACATGAGTCCCCAGTGGCCATATCATCCCCACTGATCACACCAAATATGACCATCATGATAGCCTAACCTTGTGTGTGGCAGACACTGGGAGTAGACTATTTGTGGGTATAGTGTACTCCCACTTAGCCTCTTCCACATTATCAAGGTCACTTGTACGCTGTAGAACAAACTTCTGAAGAATACCTACTATCACTGCAGATTGAATTCTGTGAGTCTAAAACTGATTTGAATGTAGTTGGAACATGACTGATATCCATCTATTTCCATGAGCGTTTTCTTTGCACTGAACTCTTGGGAATGCACAGAATCATCCCAAAGGTTCAGATGTATTCCTTTAGTCATCAGTTTTTCCAGAGGTTATTCACAGTTATGTAGACCATTTACTAGAGATGTATGAGAAAATTGTTTCAGTTTGTTTTATAAAGTATTTGCTCAGCTTGCACCTTTTGGACTGCACAGGGACTTGGATACTTGCAGCTGAAGTCTGTACATGTCTGAGCTTGCAACTGATGGTAAGTACAATTGATGTGTACATTGGGAAATACAGAGAAAAGAGGCAGTTTCATGGGAAAAGAAAAAAATGAAGTGCAGATGCTGATACAGATTTCAGTCAGAATTAGTTTAGAGATGGAATGCAGAGAATAGTAGGTTATTGACAGAACTACATTAGTAAGGACTGAACATTTTACAATATTTCTAAAATCATTTTCTTCTAATGTCCCACAAGTAAAAAATTATTTTTCTATCTACTTCCTCAGGGCTTGCACTAGATCATCCCATCAATAAAAAAATGTGCATGCTTGTTACATTTAATATCTCTTAACAGATGTAAGGCAATCTACAGCAAAGGTCACAAATAGGCTAAGATAACTCATTTTGGTGTGATTCTTGAAATCCTGCAACTATTGCTTTAAACATTACAATCTAGATAGACCTGTGCCTTAGCCCAAGTGCCATTTTGCTCCTTTGAAAGTAAGTTTGCCAGTTTGCTGTTCAACTGCATACTGACAGAACATTTTGCCTACAGTGAACAATTAATGCCACCATATTCATGAGGCTGAGCTCAACATTTGTACTTCAAAATATTTTGCTGCACGTGAACTTAGGAAACTGCCTTATACAAGCCAGTTTATTCATCCACCTAACCCAAAATGGCCAACACTGACTGGCAGCATCTCTCCATGCTTTCAAGTGGAATTCTTTTATTCACACAGAGCTCCCTATCTAAAGATTCCAGGGATTAAACCTGAGGCCTTCTGCACACAGAATGTGTGCTCTGCTACTGAGACATGCCCAGTCTGATTGACTCAAGAGACACCTGGGCAAAGTTGATCATTGCTCCTTCATTTATTCTCACATCTGAGTTTAGTTGATGGTTCAAATGGAGAGATGAACTGCAATATGTACATTTTTGTACCACTGTTTTCTCACAAGAATTTTTTTCATTGTTACTGGTGTCAATGTTTTATTTATGAATGATTCTAGGTAATATATCAATATTGAAATTATAAAGTATGGTTAGTTAACCTTATAGCAAGTTGCTTTTTAAATATACTATCTAGCACCCAAACTATTGATGTATGGCTTATTGTTGCCACTGAATTTTACATAGTAAGAAGTAAAGTTTAGAAGTGAAAAGGTGTCCATATATTTAATGCATTTAATGAAAAAGTATAAATATATTTTCTTTGATGTTTTCATTAGTTTTAATATCTAGTAAATTTCTGTATTTTTAAATATTCCATTTGGTTTTTTGAACTTGTACACTGTTGTGTTAAAAAAACTGCAAAGTTAAGTCTGATTTAATCATACACTTTGTTTGCATTCTTCTATTAAAATATTTTTCATACATCTATGATTTACACACACACACACATACACAGTCTAAAATCTTGTAAAATCTTCCTATTATTTTATGGCTTGGATATTTCATTGCTTTTCAGTAGGTGATACTATAGTATTGTCTCCATTTTGGTTTTCAATTTTAAAAGTTTATAAAGGAAAAAAGCCATCATGCTGTAGAAACAGATGGCAAGAAGATATTGTAATATCCAAGAACTTTGATTTATGAAGGCATCTTACTGCTGTCCTACTCTTCAGCTACTGAACTAGCATTCCTAAACAACAGTTCTATTGCTACTAACAGGGCTAAAGCGAATTTACCACCAACATATGTATGAAAAAGTTGCATAATCAGAACCACTTGAGTGAAGTTAAGATTGTGCTCCACTACAAGTATTTGAAAACATCTTGCGCTTTGCACATCTCGTACATATTTATACCATAATTTAGCAAATGGGAAAGCAACATATAAATTCCTTACTGAGTACTGATTGCAACAATCACTACTAGGCAACAGAAGACCTAGTTTAGGGCTAAGTGTAGCTTTCCAGGACCTTCCTACACCAAGGTTCCTGTCCCTTTCTATAGAATAATCATCTCTTCACACAATCACCATATGGTACTAGCTTAGAGCTGGGCCAGAGTGAATCCTGGGAGGTGGGCCTTATGATGACTACACTGAAGTTCAACAGTTTCAGTAGCAGAACTCAAAAGCAGAAGAAAATATGCTCTAGGATAAGAACTGATGAATTTCTCCATGGTTTTTGCAGCCTTCCCCAACTTGATGCTCTTAGATGCTTTCAACTGTAATTCCCAAGAACCCTATCCCATTGACCATGCTAGCTGGGACTGATCAGGGCTGTGGTCCAGAATATCTGCAGGGTGAGGAAGGCTGGTTAGTTGGGACTCAATGTCATGCATTCACCATATATTAATAACATTTTTGAGAGTGTGCATGATAGTCTTAAAGGAGGGCTTGAAGTGTCTGCTATGCCATGCCCCTCCAAGTCCCTGTAGGTTTATCTGGGTACACCAAACATATTGTACCTCTAGAAGCTAAACTGTCTATTTTAGCAGCAGGAACTATCTAGAAACAGCTGTCTACATACAGTAGAAGGTATATAAAAATCGATCAAATAACTCCTGGGCAGAAAAGGGAGGCATACACTGTATCAAGCCACAGTCACTAAAGCGAAGTGCTAATAAAAATGGCAGGGGTCATCCAAGGACCTTCCCCACCAGTACAGGAAAGCCAAGCATATAGCCTAGAGCAGCTTCTTCCGGGCAGAATAAGAACATGAGGTTTCTGGGGGAAATATGATCATGTGCTAGGAAAACAGGTTTTGTTCTGGTGAAGTCCACCCCACCCCCCACAAAGATACATTACATCAGTTATTTAGTTTCATTAAATATGCCTATATATATCTCATAAAATCCAAGGACACACTCAAGGCACTGGGCTCGTACAGAACCAATTAAAAGCACTGCATGCAACACTGCAAAATTTCAAACTAGAATTGAGAAATTATTAATTTCTGTTAATTTCTCTAAGCCTGACTTTCCAGAGGTAGCTGCTGTACAAGTACCTTAGAGAAAGAAAAATCTACAGTGGCATTTTTAAAGTGCTTACTCAGTTATCAGAACAAAAATCTGCAGAAGAGAGAAGAAAGGGCTTGTACTCTATATTGAACCCATATTGCTTTCCAAACCTAATTCTAGCTGACTTTTTCAGCTTTGCTTTTATTGACTTACTTCTCTTAATTGAGATAAGGTTTATATAGCACTGATCACTATCATGACAGAAATTATCACTTCTTAAAAATCAGCAAGGGATAAAAATTTCTGCCATGATTTTTCAAATAAAAGGATATTGAAAATCAAAGAAACCATATATGCAGGAGTCATCTTTTGTAGATTCCATGCTAACAAATGCCATTAATCTTTACACCTCCCACAAACTGTTCTACCGTAAAAGTTAGGTTGAAAGGGTTTCCTTTCTGGAAGGAGTCCACTGCGTACACACACAGGTTCAACACACTTCTTGATAAAAGCCAGAATATTTTTCCCCGCAACAGAGAAGCAGATCACTCATTCCATTCAGCTGGAACTGGTTTCCCTCCCCAACAGTTAGTAATGACAGTTAAATGTTCAGAAGCCACCCTAGAATGTGGAAGTGCTTCCTACTTCTAAAAACAGGCAAAGGAGCACACTTGTAGAGAAGTTGCAGAATTTCCTTCTCTGGAATTTTTGAAGATTAGCCAGAATCGGCTAAAGAATCCCATTGCTGCCGCATGTGTCAGCACAGTTTTCCAAGAAGCCCCGACTTTAATGCCTTGCTTGTAACTTTTCATAGTCCACCGTGAGAGAACATAAGGCTGACCTAAGCAGATCTTTATCTTATTTCACAAAGCAGACAAAATGACTTCAAATTAATCCCTTTCTTATTTGCATTCTTCCTTAATAAATATTGACAGAATCTAAATTACATGGAAATACCAACAAACAAATACTTGGTTTTTGTCTTGCTGTTTAGATTTAAAAGCTAACATCAATTCAAATAATCCACCTCTACCAATTTTGACATTGTTATGCCTTCCTTCTTTTTTCTAAAGATTGATACTGCTAATATAGTGAAATCATATGGTGTTTTGCAAGTAAATTAGTAAAACTGCCCTTTTTTCTGAAAGAAAAGTCAAAGTACACACTTTGAAAGGACAGGAACTCTCCTGTTAACATGGTGTGTGTGTAACTTGTATTGCATTAGACTAAAGATTAAAGCTGGTGGTGGAGGGAAGCTCCACAGCAGTTGTCAAGTATCCAAATGGCTGCCATAAAGCAGAGAAAGGCTTCTTCACATTGAAGTATGCAGCTTGCAGCAAAGCAGGCTTAGGTTACCTATCAGCAAATACTTCCAACTTCTAAAAACAGGCAAGGAACACATTTGTAGAGAAGTTGCAGAATTTTCTTCTCTGAAATTTTTAAAGAATTCAGCTGGAATTGGCTGAAGAATCACATGCTGCCACATGTGTCAGCACAGTTTTCCAAGAAGCCCCAGCTTTTCTCTTAAAGACTTTTCAAGTTTTGGCACAAAAGTTTCAGCTAATAGAACTCTCTCAACCAGACCATTCCTGATCTGAAGACAAAGCTCAAAAGACACAATATAGATTATTTTGCCCATATTCCAGCTCGAAAAACACATTTCCTAGGACCTCCCCCTTTTAAACCAGCTGAGTGTTACCATTCACCTAAATAGCTACCAGTCTTAGAAAGGCAACAGAAGAAATGAAAAAGATTACAAGAGACACTAGATATTGCAAAGAGGAAAAAACAAGGAAGGAAGGATGGATGGACGGAAGGAAGGAAACAATCTGCCTGGGGACACATCCCTGCCTCAATGGACCATAGAGTGCACTATAGTAACACAAAGTACATAGGAGTTTGGGGGGTTTTATACACTTCCACTTCTAGAACAGAAAAACAGTAAGGGCATATTATTCTAACCAGGAGGAATTAATCCATTATTCCTCCCTCCTGACAGTGATGCCAGTAAATACACAAACAGCAACTATTACACATAGAGTATGTGCCTAAGCATGGTTTTGAAGACATAATTCCCAATCTATTAAATGGGCCTTCCTGCCTAATAAATCTGTTTAGGACTGCAGACTTAAAATTCAAGGTGCCACTTCAAAAGGAACCCCAATTGGGCAAACCGAACATAGATATTTGAAGTACGTGTCTGACTACTGATTAATTTCATTTGAACCCATAAACAAAGAGTGGTCCATCAAAATCAGTAGTATTTATCTGTAAACTTGTTCATAAACTAACATGACATTGTACTTAAATGCTCATTGGTAAGATGCTGCACGCCACTTTTCCTCTTTGTTTTATACCAGTTTAGTGAAGCAGCATTAGAATGTCAGCCTTTGTCTGTTCAGTTCCATAAGTGAGCCTCAGAAAGCTTGGCTGAATGAATCAAATCTCATCTGTGTAGGCTCTTTGCCATGCTTGAATATGCCGAACAGTCGTGTGAATGTGAAAAGTTGGAAAATTGACAAAGCTCCCATTCACTGTTCTTTTGCCATTGAAATCTTAGGCAGGCATTTAAAATAACTTTTTTTCTAAGTTCATTTACTGTGCAAGCCTAATCATCTTCCAGAAAAGGCTTGCATTTGAAATAAAGTGGACAATTAATAAAGCATTCTCTGTAATTCTCCAATACTAAACCATCTCCATTTTTCTTTTTGTTCATCCTTATGCATTTTCTACTTAACAAAGAACCTGAAAGATAGTAATGTCTTTTCAGGGTTGATCTGCTAAAATAATGGTAAATAAGCAGAAAAGAAAGAGAGCAGTGAACCTCAAAGTGGTACTGAAAAATATAGAGATCATTAATAAGATTGTAAGCTGTTCAACCTGTTTTGTGGAAATCTTTTTTGGAGCTCAAGAATTCAATTTGCTGAGTTTTTCTAGTAAAGCTTTTTAGTACCATTTTGAACTCCTGTGTCCCTTTTGTGGTTCTACCCATTTCCTATTCTCTCTACAACTGGATATTCAACTGTAGATAAAGAATATATGCCAAAGTTTCTTTCAGTGGGAAAAACTGACAGTACAATCCAATATACTCAAAAAACCAAATCCCAACATTATACCTAATCTGCAAATCCTTGAAAACTCTTGCTTTCTATAATGATATCAGTGATCACAAATAAACACTTGCCTAAGAATTGTAGGATGTATTTTATAATCCCCTTAAAACTATATGACATATGTGCAATTAGCTTCATCACTGAAATTCAGTTTTTGCTTTAAATCTTTCAACATACTCTTCATTTTCCTCCATTCTTATGCTCTATCCCGTATACTAAACAGGGCTCCAATATACAACTCCTCCTGTAGTTTTACGATTGCTGTCAAACAACTCTGCCTATGAATAATACACTTCCTCAGAATCTCAGGATTCTACCATATAGAAGCAGCAAAGTGAAAGGCAGAAGATGGATTCACAAGCACAAAATCTCTTGATACAGTTAAATCATTTGTTTCCACACCTATTATAATTAGCCTCTCTTCTTTTCAGGTTCATTTGTAAACACATGCACACCACAACTAGAAATTATTCAAGTACTCTTACCATAATTAAAGTCTGTTTCTCTTAGGCACATTTCTAAAATTCATTTGTACATAGAGCCATAAAAACCTACATATAACATTATTGTTTAAGCCTTTGTGCAGAGAGAGAGAGAGTTTGATTGAGAGAAGGAGAGATTGAGAGAAGAGCTACAAAGACCAGCCTCCTGGGCACTGACATAGAAACAGTTCTAAAGCAATATCCTCAAAGGTTTTAAGAGCAAAAATTATGCTACTTCTCTAGAATATAAAAAACAGCACAGTTCTATTACCATCACAAAATGGCATGTATACAAAATGCAGTTGCCCAGAAACAACTAGACTGCTAAAAGTAAAACCCCAATCTTTTTATACCCTTCTGCCAGATGTTGACAACTTTGCATATAATACAGAATGGTTGCCAAATACATCACACCGCTTCTATGGCATATTAAATAATTATTTCACAACACTAGCTAAAGATTTAATAGGTGTTCTAAGGTAATGATTAAATCTTGTTAATATTCAACAAAAACCCAAAACCACACTTTTCAGACCCAGAATGATGGGTTCCAGGACATCAGTATAAACAATCCCTGACTGTCCTGATTCCAGTAACAAGGGTAGTGCATAGATCCATTTTTCTGAATTGAGAAGCTGCTTGCATTTCACTTTTTCTGGGAAGCCTCAAAGGCTTTCAGTTGTGCCAGGTACCATTCTGGTGCTTCTGGTCCGTTCTGCCCAGTGGAATTGTGGTCATATCCATAAGCCACTGTTAACTCTTCATCCTTCTCCACAGCCCTAGTAGTGCGAATACATTTAATCAGCCCAAAGCGAGGATGAACAAACCTAGAAAGTAAGGAGACTTTTTCAGAAAAAAAGATGATTTACTTGTTTTCATGCAAGTTCTCAATCTGACATGCATTTCTTTGAAATGTTTATTCAACTGTTAATGCATTTCATGTATCTATAGTGCTTTCCTCAGGCATCACCAAAGTAGCATACAACAATACAGATAAAAAGCATGAAAATGTTATTGATAACACTGTTTGAACAAGCCTCACATTTCTGGTTATGATCAGTGCAACTCTATGCAAACTGAGTGTCTGAGATTGAAAACCTAGACTGGAAACATCCAATCTGTTTGGATGAAATAGGGTGGTAGCCATGTCAGCCTGTTCTAGTGCACAGATCAAATATCTGACCAAACCGACTTGATTCCACAAGGTCATATGCTTCAAGAAATGTGAGATCTTTGCACTGCCGCAAGACTCTGTTGCATTCACTTCAGGGTCTTTTCCACTTTTATGCAAGGGCTGGGATCCAAAGAACTACATTAGACATGCCCAATGGTGGCTGTTTGCTCTTTACTTTTTTAAGAAGAAGATTGCTATGGCAAGTCACAATCTACTTTTGAAAATTCTTTCAATTTCAGCAGTGATTACTATGCAGAATGGGAGGCTGCTTTAAAAGAAAGGTTGCAGGCTGCATTGGATACACAGAAGTTGTACAGTTCTTTGGATCCCAGTAGAGAACAACTGATGCCTTTGTGCCCAGCAGAGTTCACTTAAAGCATTGCCTTAAGTTTCATTAAAACATCTTTACATTGCTAGGCTATCCTCAATATTTTTGTTAGACATCGAGCTCCTTATAAGAATTTTTTTCAAAATGTGTGAATCTCTTGGCTTGATGGCCAGATTAACAGAAGAATTCTGGAAAGTCAACATAATGCAGAAAACCACTTAGTTACTGCATGAGCACAACTGTTAGGACACAGTCCCACAGGATTTATAGAATAAAAGGCAAGGTCTTTAAAGAAAATCAAGGCTATTTGCTTTTTGTTTACTTGCTATAAACAGCAACAACAAAAATAGTCTTAATAGAAATTACTTCTTAAATGTTCCTTGAAATTAAGCAACTGGTGGTGTGCATTTTAAGTGATTCATTATTGATGTGGGCAGTCCAAACCATGAGATACTTTTTCCTAAACCACCCCATGCCTTGTTTTATTACTTATCCACAACAACCTTTTTTCAGTAGTTCCCCAGAAGACTAAATTTAGGGAAAACCTCTACTACAGTTAATTGTTTGTGTGCTCTGTCCTCCCTTTCTCCATAGACCCCTACCACAAGATATCATGTTTTCCCACCAAATTGTACTGCTTGTGCTATGATTGGCCTATATTCCCAGTGAAAGATGAAGGAATGTTCCTACAGCTCTATACAAGCAAATCAGAAGTTCTGGTAATTCCAGCACAAAGAAATTCAGACCATGCCACTTCACACAGTAAATGGGAATAATTGTGCAGTGCCCCATCTGAATGGTTAGCTATCCTAGGTTTAGTTCATGTACACAAGCAACCTCAGGAGTCTTCTGAGATCGCTATATTTTTCAGAGTATCAAATGAAATTACACACGGGCCAAAGAACATCTGTTGCAAAAAGGATCTCGAATTATCACAGAGGATGCTGGGGTCAAGTGTTCTCAAGTGCATGTTATGCCACCTCTACATTTATGCAATGCTGCCATTTGGGACAGCAAATTCTTTGGGACTAGTGCTTAGAGCATGATTGTATCCTGGCAAGGAGGTTTTCTTGCCCAGGAATGATTTCCTTGCTTTCAGATGTATATTGCAATGATTTCCCAATTAGTAATGCTTGGATCTGATCTGTTATCACAAACATTACTGGCCTCATTTCTGACATTTCAAAAGCAGCATCTTGTATTGGACAATTTTAATACTTACGTCTCATAAACACAGTTTGGTGTGAAAGAGTGATTTGCTTTGTGCCCCAAAGAGGCAGAGTATTTGGCTGCATGGTTATAGGGTTCTGGCACATCTATGACTGTTTCATCATCAAGCGATATTGTGTTTCCATTCAAAGACCAGTCCCTGCTGTCTACCTAATATTCAAACAAACAGGATGGCAGTGTCAGCTTTGTCTTTATGCAAAAGATTATACATGCATTTCTGGTATTACATGTTTTTAGGGAGATAGTAGGCCAGTGGTACTTGAGGCTTTTTGCTATACAAAACCAAATTCAAGAGAAGAGACTATACCACTCCAGAAGTCTTTTTACTGGCAAGTCTCTCTCTCTCTCTCTCTCTCTCTCTCTCTCTCTCTCTCTCTCTCTCTCTCTCTCTCTCTCACACACACACACACACACACACACACACACACACACACACACACATTTCATAGCAAACTTGCAACACATTAGCTATCTCTGGAGTAGACAAATTCATTTTTGGTATCTTCCCAAATGAACTGGGAAGAGAAAGATAAGCCAATTCTCAAAGTGAGGCAAACATATTTCCATACGAAGAGTTTATCTGTGGAAAAACTTATATTCTATAATGGAATAGAATGGGATTTCCCCCTCCTCACTCCCAATATTCAAGCCACAGAGTTCATTCAGGGCAGGAGTTGGCAGAGGTCAGCTTATGGAATCTGCTTTGTTTTAATACTGGAACTCTGAGGGCCACCCTCAAGGATCTGATGCAAAGAACACATACTGAGAACTGAGTCGAACTCACAGCCCTTCCACAGAAAAAAATGTTGGTTACCATAAATGGATTTTTAAATTATTATTTTTATTGCAATTAGTACAATTTAGGAAATGGGGTGAGTCATTTTCTTGCTGCTATTGCTAAGCAACTGGAAGTCAGAAACCCTGAGGTAAGACACCCAGAGATCTACCAGTAGATCCAAATTCACTTTCTGCCCATTCCAGATCCAGGACAAAAAGGTTTTCTTCACCCCAAATTTATCAATGGTTAATAGGAGTGCTTGGTATAATCCAGATTCTGCTGAGTTCCTAGAATGACTCTGGACGCGTGAACTAAACATATTCTAAAAATAATGCATTATCATCCAAGTCCTTGTGTACAAAGGAACACCTGAATAACATACCAAACTGTAGCAGAGTTAAAAGCAACAAGAAAGTTTCTAAAATGGTATTTAAAAGCAGCAATGATGTTCTGTCTTCACTTTACCTCCTGATGAGTAATCCGAATGCCATTATAAAAGGACATAATTGTGCCAGCTTCAGCAGCTATTTTAGTAAACAAACCTTCTCCAGCACCAGAAATGAGAGATGTGTCTACATATACCCTAATAAAAGGAAGAGTAAAAATCAAGTATAATATCATACTTATAACTTCATATATCAGTATTAATATTTGTAAAACAGATAATATCCTTTGAGATATTACATTTGAGAATCTGCAAATGGACAGGTACATGAATTCTGGAATGTTCGACAGGAGAGAGAACTTTTACCTGTTTAGATAGAAGCTCCGGCGTCTTATCACCAATGTAAGTACAACCAAACTCTACAGTCCTGCTTGAACAGGTATTCGAATCAAGTTTAAGGTCATGAAGTAGTATCCTATACTGCCACTGCATCATCACTAGTTATGTAGCACTAGTAGTGCAACAGGGACTAATAGTTCCTGAAATAATGCTGGAAACTACAGGAAATGTTTATTTCTGAAACACGTCAGTGAAGCCTGTCCTGATCCAATGTTGCTGCTTGTTTCCTTTCATTTCAGGAACCATGAGTGCCGGTTGTGCTAGCGCGCCTTCCACTGGTGCAGGCCCATAATCGGTCCAAAGATGTATCTCAAAACAAAAAAGATGTACTCTAATATAGCAATTAGTTAGCATATTTCTTCAATAACTTCTATGTTATGATAGTAATTTCTCAAAAAGAAAAATAAGGATAAATAAGGATATTTCAACTGTCACAGAAATACAAGTGATCTTTTAAAATTTTAAAGTAAAATAAAGTGGCTCTAAATTATGATGTAGCACAGCTAAATACCAGTCAATTACAACCCTGTAAACACAGTATTTAATTGTCCTCTCCTTGGGGCCTAATATATTCTTACAGGAAAATCCAAAGCAAAATGGCCAATAAAACCAGACCATGGAAGGACACATTAGTACAAATGTGATCAGGTCTCTTGTGTTTTGAGCCATAAGTAGCATAGCAGCACTTTGTCTTATCAGATGCTGAACCACTTGAATATCCTGTCCCTCCTATCCTGACTATACATGGTAAGGATTACCTTATGAACAACCAAAGACAAGTACTAGATTTGTGTTTTTGGGGAGTGGCAGCAGGGAATAGAGGAAACATTTGATTCCCTGCCTTACTTCCTATACTTAAGTTTCTTAATAATAATTTTCAGAAAGGACAAAACAGTGGTGTCCTCGTAGATGTTTATTATGTTCACATATTTTAAGGAAAACATTTCAATTCAATTAAGCCCATGCAAGACAACCATCACATTAGTAGGCTAATCTGACAAGCCATTTACCCACAAAGAGTCCTGTTTGTCATTTTAAAGAATGGAAGGATGCTGAATGGTATCTTAAAATGCAGAGCAGAACCACCAAATAGTTTCTTTGCAAATACTGAAGCAGGGCAGGGGAGCCAAGTTATATAAATAAAAGTTATTCTACCTCTCTGATTCATAAGGATCAGGAAGAAGTGCATTTGTAGAAATGCAGGATGAAGTAGATTTATCAAAACTGTACACTGGGCCTAAAAAAGATCAGTACAGGAAATTAATGGACAATATTGAAATTCAAATCGCTCTCTTATTAAAGTGTTACTCATTCAATATATAATCATAAGAAAATTTAGCTTTTCAAAACAGGAAAAACTTATTTAGGACCCTTCTAATATTGACTAAAACAGCACTTTGCACTGAATAAATTTAACCCTTTTCATTTCTGTTTCCAACTCTAAGCAGGGTATTGGCATTTTATTCTTACAAAAGCAATTTCAGGTTTACACAAATTAAAGTTTATGCTTTCAAAATTATTTTAAATGAATGGTGAAAGGAGGTCAATTTGCACAATAATCTTGTATATTCACTTCTGTCCTTCCTTGCCCTGCATTAAGACTTTTGCTCCAATCAACATTTACATGCATTTAAATAGTGCTGAAGTCAATAAAATTCAAGCAAACAGTATCTCTGCAAATAATGCAGGTCCCTAAGTTGCTAATAATTTCTCAAGTCATCTTTTAGTAGTTCAGTAAACTAATCCAATATATTTCTAACAGTAGAATTCCAAGGTAAAAATCACATTATTTAAAGGGAGGAAAGAAATAGCGTATTTTCCTTTGATTCTCAAATAGTCTAAGGATTGGGAATAAAAGGTATACAATAAAATTATATTCTTTGTTTGTCTTTCCAAATATCAAAATGTTGACACTTCTTTTCCATTATTACAATGATATGTGCAACAGGTAGCTAGGGCAGCTAGATGGCTGGAGATTGATAAGAAATGTTTTCCTTAGTGATCAAATCCTAAAAATGCACTTGTACTCTGCTTGCCATCAGCCTTGCATTTTCTATTTTCAAAATGCAAGTTGTGCCCAAAGCTTTATTCTAAGCATTCCTGAGATCTCAGGTTGGCAGGATTTCAAAACCAAATGGATTTCCCCTGGCCTTTTAGTTTCGCTTACATTTAGTTCTATACATTATTGTCAAACATGAGGGCAATAACTCCCCATCTAATGACCTGTAAATAGGGCACAAATACTGGCATTCCAGGAGCAACCGCTAGTGCTTAGTGGCTAGACAAATGCCACAGGGGATTTTTCTCTTCCTTCCTTTCCTCTTATCTCCTATGCAATGGGAGACTGAATCCAGTAGGTGCAGAGGGCTGGAGTAAGGCAGGAAATCACGAATTGGCATGCAACAAGAAGCAGCCCAAAGGAGGACCTACATATATGTTTGCTAAACCAAACATTGGCTGAGGATCTGGGGAACCACTGAAAGCTAGTCATGTTAAGAAAGGTAGCCAGAGTTCAAAACAGGTTGTGAAATACCATCATTTATACCTATTTTACATCTTGTTCATAAAGAGTCTAGAAAGATTCTAGGCCAGATTAAAATAGCTTTCAGAGCTGCTTCTCACACTGTATTTTGTTATTAGATATGTATATCCAAGTTCAAAATGCACACTCAAAATTCTTGTGACAGGCACATGTATGGATGCATCACCACTCTTCTTGGCAAAGTATACAGGCACAGCAATTGAGAGGGCTTTGCCTTAAAAGGTGGCACATAATTACTTTTAAAAAATTATATGGGAAACAATTAGAACCTGCTTCTTCTTTTGCTAAGGAAAGTGGTATCTGAAAGGCATCTCAATTGACACCGTCTGTGTGTATTTTGTATCTGAGCCCTTCCATGATATTCACAGTATTAATTATATTTATACTGTGCCTTTTTCCTACAAGGAATCTTATACGTTCCTTTTCCTCTCAATTTTATCCTCACAACAACCCTGTGAGATAACCTGAGAGTCAGTGAGAACTAGAACCCAGATCTCCAATGTCCCAGTGCAACTCTAACCACTGGCTCTCATATCCAGGTACAACATGTGAAATGAAGTTTTACTAAATTACTGCTCCAGTTATCCTGATGTAGAGCACCGTACTCCACACTTTGTGTCAATTTTGTCCACACGTGTCAGAGCCATCCTTGGTGGCTGTTAGCATTTTGTCTTTTTAAATAAAAGTCATTTTGCAAATTTCTGTGCATAGAAGAAGCAAAATAGAGCAATGTGCTTGTGCACTGGGGATGAAAACATTTGCCAGAGGGTATTATGAGGCCATACCATACAATGCAAACTCTGTTGAGGAGAACTTACTGCCTGTCAACACTTCGAATTGTGGCTTTCCCTCTTCTATGGATACAAGGGTTGCCAACTTTGCTTCTAACATTTCACCATCTATAAACTGTCCATAATATGCCATCTTCCCATCAGGATATACATAGGCGATTTTCCCTCCAGTCATCTCTCCTTCTTCATTAACTTCTCCAACCAGATGCCCACCATCCTGAAAGAGAATCAGAAGTTTGGTACAAGAAATTATGCAGACATTTTTGGTGGATGGGGGCTAACCAACAACATATTTTGATTACCACATCATATTGTGGTTCAATAAATACCAATTATAGTTTCATCCCTGCATTTGGTTGTACTCCTCCCATTATCTTGGTCCTATTATTATAAAGTTCTGAACAGATCCAGGCTGTATCTATTGAGAAAGAAAAAGCTTTCTAAATGTTGGAAGCCAAGTAAAATGACTGAACAGTATCCTTTTGCTTAATTTAAAGATCAATTACTGGTTTATCTGCAAGATTATAACAGATTTCATGGGTCTGTACATTATTTTTGACACAAATATAATGGATAGTTTCCTGACAAGTTTTGTTGGTTCCCTAGTTATGGGTGCCCAAGTTATATTTTTCAATTTCCTATGGAATAGTCAGCCATTAGTGCATCATTCTTTTTATACTGCTTATACACTGACGTCACCTGGTGTTCTTTTTATTGGGGGCGGGCAGGGAAGATACCAAAAAGTGTAGAAGTTTAACAGCATACTTTTGTTTTGCTAGCGTCAGAGTTCAGAACATTCTGTAAGAACAGACTGATGTTTGAAACATGTACATGGTCACTGCTGAACCTATTCAGTATTTATTTAGGCAGAGTGTCGCTAGCTTGAGTGGCCTGAATAGAGCTATTCATCTGGGAAAACAAGAAGCAACTCTGCTATAATGGCTTGAAATTAAAGACAGTAAGAAACAAATATTTCATTCAGACTATTTCAGAACTATTTCTGAAGTTGAAATCCCCTGTACAAAAGAGGCCTCATAGGTTAAACTCAAATCTAAACATATACATAGCTGCACTAGCACACAGTGATCTGCTTTGCATTACACAAAGGACCACTGTGAGTTAATTTACCCACTGGTTGTCATGTTGTGCCATGCACCCTCGGGTGCCTTTTTTGCATGGTACCTGCAGTCAATCTGTTTGTCATGGCTTGTTGTGTCACATGAGCCCAGGTGGAGAGCTTGCTTACGAATCAGACAACTGTAGAAAGTAGGCTTTTGCTTATTACAGACCGTTCACACAGATTTGTCTGATTTGAAGGAGGAAGAGGTTGTGGTGCCTGTGTTTGGCGGTGGAGGGATGCTGAAGTCTTTGAAGCTGCAAGTTTATCTAGTGAAGTTTCTCAGGCACAGGATAACAACTGGAATGATTTGGAAGGGATGGAAGAGGTTTCAAGACGGAGAGAGAGCAGATGTGAGATGCAGACCTTGAACCAGTAAGGGGACAACATGAGAAACAAGCTGCCTAGTTAGAAGGTCCCTTGTATTCCTGCTATCGACCTCCAGCAGCAAGAGTCACCCTGAGGGTTGGGGTCAAAAGCTTTACTTAAAATGAGAGACAGAGGGGAAGTTGGGATTCAACTCTTTACATGGGTTGATGCTTCTCTCTCAATTTTAGCCTTTCTCAAGGCTGTTTAGCATTCATTCTGTTCTATAATCTGTTAAGTTTCAATAAAATAACTACACTTCAAAGGATTGTCTTGAGTTTGCTAACCAGAAGGAAAGGGACCAGCTCACAAAAACAACCCTCAAGGAAACCATGGCTTATTTTATGGTTGATGGGTTGTCTAGCTCTCAAATAACCCTTCCTACCTGGATTTGCACAAGACAAGCCACGGCAAACTGGGAGCCTGTGGACACTCAACATGATGCAACAATTCTGTGGGTAAAGTAAGCCACAGTAGGCTGTTGCATCATATGGATTGGATCATGCATCATGTGAATTAGATCAGTGTATTGTACATTCATGCACACAGTTTATACACCACAGCATTTATTGCAAGGCAAACTTGTATTCAAATTATAAGAAGTCACCATCATAGCAGGTAAGAGGAGTTGCTAGTTTCGGCAAGGTCTATGATCGCCAAATTACAACCTCTTGCTTACAACTACCTTTGCAGATGGGAACTAAACAGACTGCTGTTATTATTCATGACATTTCTATACAGCCCAGTAGCTCAAATTCCTTGAGCATTTCACAGCAATTAAAACTATAAAATACAAAGCAATAAAGTGAAATAGAAATGCTTAAGTTTAACATTACAGCATAATCACCAAAGGAAAGCTAGCAGCAGCACAAAGATTTAAAATACAATACCAAGTTGTTTTCCCCAGCACGCTGCATGTCTTGTCTTCCAATATCAGATACCAGTGAGTCCCTTACTCTGCTATCACACTTACTCATACAGTAGTTACATGTCTAAGCTGAACAGACTTACTGGATAGTATATCCAACAAACTCCATGTCGAATATTATCTTTGTATTGTCCTTTGAATATCAGTCTCCCATCAGCATCATATTCTTGAGCTGGTCCATTCAATTCACCATCCACGTAAGTGCCATGAAGAGCTCCTCCATCTTCGTAAGTGTATACTCCCTGGCCTTGCAGACCATCATCAACATAATAACCTTCTAGTGTGCTGGTAACAAGAAATGGATAGAGCCATGTTGATTATGTGATTCATGTTTAGATTTAGGGCCTGATTATCATAACGACAGTCTTTTCTCACACAGAACTGTCCGGGATTTAGCAGATGCCTTGTTCTCTGTGCTGTGCTACCATCGCAGGTCATTATGGTGACCACAACAGGTAGAGCCTTCTTAGTGGTGACACCATAGCTCTGGCATACATTTACAGAGGAGATCTTTCCATTGCAAACTGAAAACTTTCATTATAGGTTTCTAATGCCTGGTGTTTGCTTTTGCTAGCTTCTTGCACTTTAGTCCGCAGCTTTTAGGTTATTTATAGCAATGTTCTTAAAATGTGCCCTGCTTTTTGATAAGTTTTTTTTGTTTTTGTATTTCTCATACTGTGAAACCATTCAGCTTGCCGTATAGGCAGAAAAGCAGAAAATAAATAATTACTTACTTAGACACAAAGTCAACATTCAAGAGATTTTAGTGAAAGGATTTTCGGCCCCAGTTGAGAGTCTCACACGTGTTAGGACATTCACATGGAACGTTTATGCCACATGATTGCTCCTTTCTTTTCTGCTGAAAAGAATGGGGCATCTATTGCACGTGTGATAAGAACCCTTTACTTGTAGGTCAAATTGCTGAGGATATTAGTCATTTTTAGCATCTTTGCCTTCAAGTAAAACCTTTAAAAAAATGAACCCCCCTTATTCTGTAAATAGTACAAATAAGGTGATAATTACTTATTGTATCAATATTTATCCCACCATTTTAAAATTTTACTTGAGGCTAATTTTAACTTTTAAAGAATGAGCAGCAAGGGGGAGGATGCAATTTTATTTCAATTCTAAAAAAACAAACAATCAGTCAATGAAACTTATAAATATATTCAAGGTATCAAGCAAACATACAAAAAGTTAAAAAACAAACTAACAAACAAAGCAACTATGTACTGAATAATGTTTACCTTCCATCAAAGAAGAAAAACTTTCCACAGCCATTCTTTTCTCCGTGTACAAAATTTCCCTCAAATCGGTCTGTGGATGAATATGTGACTACACAGAAACCATGTGGCATCCCATCTTCATCAAGTTCTCCTAAAACACACACACAATTAAAAGAAGCCTGGTGAGACCAATACAAGGTTTTGTATCCATGTGCCTTCAGTGGAACATGGTTTTCATATTCTGCTACACGGCAAGTTCTGATTCTTAAAAAACATCTGGGCCAGAGTCCTGCAGCAAAGATTATTGCAATGGCCTCCTGCTTGATTTTCTTTCTTAGTATTTATTTTCAAGATACTGACTCGTATAGCAATCTGCTTAAACTGTTTATGTGGTGCCTTAAAAAGCCAACCAGTTGTTCTAACTGGAGGGTGGATAACCAAAAAGACCAGCCAGTGGGAAAACATATTTCACCAAGCTTGATTCAGTTTGCATTTTATCCCTCTATCCAAAAAAAGGAGTGCCTGCAGATCTGGTGCAGGCTCACTGCAAGTTAGGTACATCTGTACGCAGTCAGAAGTTTTATGAATACATAACTTTTAAAATGTTTGAACACAGCTGCCAAGCAAGTGCATCCAATTCCTGATGCAAAAAGGCCTTAATACAGAATAGATGAAAATGAAGCAAAAACACCCTTTCTTCTATACTTTGCATATATCAGACAGTGAAAGACTTGCCTCTTTCATATCCACAGATTTGCATAACATGCTTGGGATATATGCAGAACAGAAATGGAAGGAGCTCTTTTTCCATGCGGCATGGCAATTCAAGGCATATTGAAGCATAACCCAACATCCTCATATAACAAGGGCACTGTTAAATTGTAATGGTGAATGTGGGTATATCAGATGAGACAACTCCATCCGTATCTGGCCTCAGCAGTAACCCAAGTTCATTCATAACATAGTTTCCTTGACACCAGAAAGTTCAATGATCATTGATTTTTAATATAATGCCATCCATTTCATCAGCAAAGCTCAATGTAACTGTGTGAGAAGATACAGTTGTAGCTTTTATTAGATGCCCTTCACAGGGAACCCAGTCATTCTAATCTCAACCTGTAATACTCCAAAAGTTTTTGAGAAATGTGTCTTGATCTATGTATATTCTATTTGTGCTGATATTTCACCTGGATTTATTCCAATTTTATTCTTTAATAATAAAATCAAAGACTAAAATATTCTTATTTAATAAAATTGATTCCTATCTTCTAAAAGAAACATTGAAAATGAAGCCTCGAGCATTTTAAAGCCAGTTCATCAGTCTTCTCACCAAAAGCTCATTTATAAATTCCAAGACTGGAGAGCACTGGTACTTGGCTGATGTGTTGGAATGTGTTGCACAGGGCAGACAAGAAGCATAACTTGGGTAATTTTCAGACTTCAGGCAAGCTGACCTCTAACTTTATAGCAATCAGCATTGCTGAACATATGTTTATATTTGTTTGACATAGAAGTTGCTCACAGACTATTAAATTATTTAAAAAAAACACTTCAGTGGGCTTGGAGTCAGCTTCTTTGTTACTGTACATATTCAAAACCATGATGACATTTTGTTAAAGTTCTGAAACTCCAATATAAGTGAGGCAGAAACAAACAGTGGGAAGATCTGGATGGATCAGAACAAAAGGGGCTCACAGACCATGAAAAGACCCTTCAGTGTGTGCAGAGAATGAAACAAAGGAAACAAACTGCACAGATGAACTAGGGGTAAGCCATGCAATTGTGCCTTTCATTCTACAGTTTTAACCTCATCTCTTCAAATAATAGGATTGTTAAACACCACTACCAAGGGAGCGGGGTAGCTTTCTATATTTCAGTAGGCATAGACAGTTCACTATCTTGGAAGGTTTAGTTTTGCTGGAATTCAGAGTCTTTGCAAGGATGGGAAGGTGATTAAGATGGACTGCTCCAAGAGACTGGTGGGCCTGAACAGTTCTTGGGAATTTTTCTGTCACCTCAACAGGCCATTCTGTTGAAGCTCTAGGCCACTTCCAGATGGAGAAAGGGCTCATGGGAGTGACCTGGTTGTTCCTGAGCATCCTTTCTCACAGCGTGGAGCCAAATGAGCAGAGTTTGCAGGGTACTAGAGATGATGAAAGAGAAGAACACTGAACTAAGTTGACAGAAAATCAGAATGAGTCTGAAAGGCTATTCTGTTGCAATAAGGGCAGCAAATAAATTGCACTTCTCTGCCATCTTTGCAACTACACATAATCATTCACTGGAGATTTTTCAGACAGCAAGAAGCCTATTTAATGCTGGTCTACAAGAAGAAAAGGTGGGCTACTTGATAATCCACATGACCAATCTGTATGACCCTTCCCAGATAAAATCAATTGGATTTGTGCCAAATAGAATGCCAGTTGATAGACGTCCAGTGGGTATAACTGAGCCCCCTACTTGTCCAGTCACAATAGATACTTTCACATGGCCCTCATGCTCTTCAACATGCACATGAAACTGCTGGAATAGATTGCCCAAAGTTTGGATGAGTGCAGTGCACTCTATGTGGGTTCAATGTGAATGGCACAATAAGAGATATCTACCTTACCTTACAAGACAAACTACAGACCACACCCATGATGTAGTTTAACACACACATAATTAATGCTTACACAGTTCTTTTTCATAGTACCAATTTACATTTTAGATTAGTTGCACACAGTAATTCCAGATTTTTACCTTGTAGTACAAATGGCTAAATGCTGTTCACTGTCCAGTGGTGGTCAGTTGAACAGTGGGGCCAATGCTACCATTTAGGGGCATGAAATGGTTTTTCAATTATAGCTAACATGTTTTGAAGGCCTCAGAAGGCAATTCATGCCCTATTATTGCTAAATTATTATATGTTGGGGTCACCTGTGTCATTTATAAGTGTTGTTATACCAAAATGTTCATTTAGAATACCTATAGTTTCTCTACGTTAACCATCATTTCTGCTCAGAAATGTGTCTATTTTAATTTATGGAGTGAAACATCCTAGTATCACTAGGATACTGGTATAGTATCAGATGTTCTACAGTCAGAACTTGGCATCAGCTCCCAGCATCACTACAGTCACAATTTACTTTCTAACCTTAGTAAAATACATTATCAGTTTGCCTCCTTCTCTCTTGCCTAATTCTAATAGTCCAGTCTTTATAGGCAGAGAATATGCCTTAGTCAGCTTTGTTTAATCAATTAATCCAATTGATCCTAAAGTGTAACCTAACTGCAGCACAATTATTCAAATTGCTTTGTTCTGCTTTTAATTAGGTTGGAGAAAAAGAGAGCTAACTTTGCATTTATATAGTTCCATTTCTGCATGCTTAAAAAAATAAATATTTTTCACAATACAGGTTGTAGCCTTATCCACGGTTTTGTTCAGGTGTGTTCCCATTAATCTGAAGAGATTTACACATAAACAAGAGCAAGATTACATGATGAATAAGTTACTCCTTCGCATACAAGCCCACCTTTAAATGCAGTCACCTTAGGAATTAAGTCAGCTGCCAGCTTACTTCATATGGAACCAAAGAGGGAAACTTCAGCTGCCAACAGGTATTACTCTCAATTATATTGTTCCAAATTATCTCGCTACATTTTTACTTATTTGCTCACCAGAGTAAAATAGCACATGGTAATATATGGTTTGCTGCACATCCATTCTACATGCCCTGTTAGAACTGCTTGAGTTCCCTCAGGCTCAAAACCCACTGATCTAGATAACAGGGCATATTATTTCTAGAAGGGTTCAGAGATAAATATTCAAAACTGACAAACTATAAATCCATCCAAAATGTCTAAAGAACAATAATATTCCACCTAAACATTTTCAGAGTGTCACAACATCTTAATAGTTTCCACTAGAACTATGCACTGATACTAAATGCTACTGCAGAAATGTGTTCTTTGGAACCATATCATCACCAAACAACAAAAAAGCAGGAAATTAAGAAACCAGCACATTAAAGCTTGGCCAGGCTTCCAATTTTCCTCATGCATCTCTTCACATTTCACAATGCCTTCGATCAATAAATCAAACAATGATAATATCGTGAATGTCCCCAATTTCATTAAGCTTCTTCCAGCCTTTATGATTTGTTGAAAACATGGACAACACGATTATTCTGGTCCTTAGAACAGGGACAACAGAGAGGTTGAAAGTGTCCGTTGTGAGCACTCATACACGTTAAGGCCCTCTCAGAAGGATGAAGTTCCCCACACATGGAGTCACGTTGCTTTTACTTGCCTCACTTACATTCAGTTGCATTTACTTGCAACCGAAGCGACTACCGACAGAACTTGCAAGAGAGCTAGGTGTCCTCATGGTAACCCGGGAAGTCGCTGTAACCCTTTGCTGTGGACCAGCCCGATCTCCACCCAATGAATACTTCTGCTCAAGGAAGGGGGGAGAGAGGAAGAGCAATATTCCTTGCAAAGGGGCAAAGGTGTCCCCCGCCCCGGATGATGGGGCAACCACTCCTGTCTGGGCTTATTCGGGAGGGCAGATTGTCAGGGGCGTCTTCTCGTGACGGGCTTTCTCCAGAACACGCAGTCCAGGCCGTGACTAACTTCCAAACGCCAGGCTGACTTCCAAACACGGGACGCTCCGAAAAAGTGAAAGCCCACTGCCCCACACGCTTCGCCCGCTCCTAAGCGAGCCCTGGCGGCTCCGGGAGGCGATCCTGCCTGCCAGCCGCAGGAAATTACAGGGGAAAGAAGGTGGGGAAGAAGCACCATGTTTGCATCAACAGCACCCGCTGGGGAAAGGGCTGCAGGGCGCAGGGGCGGCGGCGGCGTGGAGGGCGGCACAGCTCAAGCCCAGCAGGCAGGCAGCTGCCCCCCGCCGGCAGAGCTGCACCCACGAGCTGCTCGCGTGGCTCCTCCCCGCGCCTCTCCCTCGCCCAGGCCCAAGCAACGCAATTACCCTCGATGGTTTCCTCCAGCGTCTCCTCGTCACTGTCCATGGCTCAGCACCCCCGCCGGCAGCCAGAGGAGGGTCCACTTGCCGGGATCCGCTCGCCTTGCCCCAGAGCGCGCGCGCGCCCGCCCGCCGTCCCGGCACTCGCCTAGTCCAGGCCGAGAGGAGGAGGAGGAGGGAGGGGGAGGAGGAGGAGGAGGAGAGGGCTGCGGAGCGCCTCACGCTGTCTCCCCCTACAGTCCACTAGGCGGACTGGCCTGGCAGGGGCCGGCGCCGCGCGACGCCAGCCGAGCGACGAACGTCTCCCCGGCGCTGCCGCCACCCGCTCTCCCTCCCCACATTCTCGAGGCTTTGTTATAGAGCAGCTGATCCACTGACATCACCCTGGGCTGGGGCGGCTCCCTGACTGACAGCTCCTTGCGCAGCCCCGAAAAGCGGGCGCTAGGCGGTGCGGCGGGGAACGCGCCACGGCGCCTCTCCAGCCCTGCCCGACCCCGCCGGGCGAGAGCATCGCGCTTCACGCGCCCGCCGGGACGCCCGCAGGCAGGGCCCGGCGTCCGTGCAGCTCCTCGCGGCCTCCTGGATGCGGGCAGCGCGGGAGAGAGCAGCACGTGGCAGAGGCTGCGGCGCGCTGGATCGCGCGCCTGGGCTCGGCAGCGCGGAGAGGATGCGCGGCCCGCCAGATCGGGCAGAGGGGCCCTTGGCAGGGAAGGGGCGACAGTGGAAGGGGCGGCACGGACACCCGAAGCGCCTCGAGGTTACGAAGCTGAGGCAAAGTCTGAGAAGGGGGCGGCAGTGTGCGCAGAAGTTAGATAGCCGATGTTCCGGACTCCCAGAAGCTCTTGTTTCTTAGCAGGACCGATGGCCAGCATTGGAAGTTTAAAACATCTAGACTAGAGATCTACTTTTGTCCACGTCTGCTGTCCACAATTTCTCAAGGAATAAGTTTGACCTAGGTCTGCTGAACTCTGTTGGGCTGATGCCTGAGAAGACATGGATCAGATTGAAGCAAATGATCCAAGCTGGAGATGTCCAAGTTAGCTAAATCTTAAGTAAGAGAAAAATAATAAAAACCTGGCCTGTTTTGTGAGTTTCCATGGTCCTCAGCTGGATAGCACAATGGTTAATCTCCAGAATAAGGATGCTGGGGCTCAGTGATTCTGCTGTCTGAGATGATGGACAGGGTGGCACAGTCCCTCTGCTCTCCACCATTTCTTGTAGTGAAGCCAATTTCAGCACTGACAAGAGTGCTACATCCACATCCGCAGCAAGTAAGGCAGAGGCAAACCCAGGAAGCGTGCAGTAGATCATGAATACATAGAGCTGTGTTCTCATAACAACCTTCCTTTCTCCCAGCATCTGCCATTTCCAGCAGCCTTCTCAGTCCACCTAATGGTAGGACTAGCACTGCCTCCAGATCATTCTTACCCCACTGCCTTTCATCCAAACGGAAACAAATTTGATTGCATCCCATGGTTCCATTGTAAGAGATTAAACCTGGTATTTACATTCCAGTCTTTCTATTGCCAACTGAAGACCATTTTTAATTTTATCAGGCTTTGCAATCTTAAAAAGACCTGTTAGTGGTTTTGAATTTATTTGTGCTAATGTTATCTCTTGCAATGTTTCTCCTTCTGTTAGATTAATTTTGGTTTTACACTGTTACCGCCTTTAGTCTATTTTGTACTTTGGGTTTGTATTTTTGTTCTTTATGGTTGCAACTTTTTAAACTGTAAATCCAACTGTAAATCCTTGTAGCATATAATAATAATTATTATTATTATTATTATTATAACATTTCTATGCCGCCCCTTGCCGAAACCTCGGGGCGGCTTACAACACAATAAAATACATTGAAATACAATAGAACATAATAAATTACCATTAAATACAAAAATACAAAAAATACACTGATAATTTTAATTTTATATTTGTAACTCAGTGTATTTTTTG